TCTTACATTTTTTACCAGGGTTGTCAGTTTGATGTGTTAATTTAGAGCACTTTTAGAATCTACTTTTTGTAAAATCCATTTACTAATAATAAGTTAGGGATATTTAAAATGATCATTATTACAGAGTTATTCATATTTTGAATATAATTTTATATTTGCAATTTTCACATTGCAGTATGCTTCTTTGACATTAGTTAAAGGGATAGTTCACCCCCCAAAAAAATCCATTTACTCGCCCTTTACTTATTTCAAACCTTTATGGGTTTCTTTCTTCTGTTAAGCACAAAACTAGGAGACTACTAGTAAACAATACTTACAGACAAAGATGGCAATAGTACACACATCCTTTACTCAAGAAGAAGTAAAGATACATTTAAAAGAACTCTGGTAAAAATGTAAGTACTGATTACTCTTTTGTCCTCAAGTAATAGTAAAGAAGTGATGAAAAATAGATTGATTGCATCAAAAAGGCGTTCAATTTGCACTATGACAAAACATAGATCAACGCCAAACTCACGAAAATGAAAGTAATGACCATGGTTTAAAAATGTAAGGAGTACAATTACAGATATTTGTGTAAAAATGTAAGGAGTAAAAGTAAACAGTTGTCAAAAAATAAATAGTGGATTAAAGTAGGCTACTGATACCAGAAAAATCTACTTAAGTACAGTAGTGAAATATTTGAAAGTTCAGATGCAAAACCCTCTAAAGCCATCAGACCTATTTTCTCGTAAATGAGCATTTTCTATCAGGCTCCTATAATTAGGTTCATAAGTTTCAATTTATTTGTAATGATAAGGTTATTAGCTAGTAACTAAAATACATTTTTTTTTTTCCAAAAATGTCACTTTAGACAATTCTTTGTTTTTTAACAAGTTAAATTTTCTTTGGCGTCAAAACCAGCTAAATCCACTTGTGCTTTTTTTTGCAAAAACCTCTAAATCCACCTATTGAAAATCACTAAAGATGCGATTAGAAAGTATTTTACCAAGCATAAAACACATTACACACACCACCTAAAATTAAAAATATGTAAATCTGTCAAGTAATTTCGCCGTGATAAACCAGGGAAAAAGCAGAAGGAAAAATAATGAACGAAATCTGTTACGTAAATGCATTAATAAATAACTTTAGCATTAATTAAATCTTAATAATGTGTTGTCATAACTGGTATTTGGGATATTTAGATTTAATGTGAGTAGAACAATGTAAACATTGGAAACACTGTAAACTAAGCTTGGTAGATTCAGATAATAGTGTAAAAGATTGTGAAACATCAATATTTGTGCATTGTCCATTAATATAAAAAGCTTATCTAACGTATAGGTAATTTGAAGTAATATAAATTAGTATAGTTTTATACATTATATCTATCTTTTAAAAAACAGCTTACATTAGCACATAAAACACAAGGAAGGCTTTCTGGGGAAAAAAGGGGATGCCTCTCAGACTGTTTTAGAAGCTGTCATTTATTCATTCTCACCATACTGAAGGTCTTGCTCTTTTTTTCGTCTCGTTTATCCTCATAGCATCCATGTGGGATAAAAGAACGGCATCTTTCTGCAGTTGCCATTCAATGTATAGTAATCGGACTCATTCAAAGTAGCAAAAACACATTATGAATGCATGCTACACTTCCGACTGTACATTGTGTTTTCTTTTTATAATAATATACAGAATTGGAGGCACAGGACATTTCTTTTGCCAATTAGTGACAGTCAGACAGGTTCATCCAGTTTATCAAACTCCGTCTTTTAAAAGCGTATCACACTGTAAAAAATTGCTGTTAAAAAACAGTCAGATTCTACGGTAAAATAATGTTTTTTCACTAAAACAGTAATATTCTGTTAAAAACAGTGCTTTCTGGGTAACATTTTTGTTTTCGAGAAAGTAACCAACTGCAGAAAACTGTGAGCTAACAGAGTTCAGATTCGATGTTTTGAAGTCTGTGTTTGAAATCACGCTTTGTGTCCTTGTTCACTATTTCATACACTAGTTAACTAATATAGTTCACCTGACTGTTTTAATGAACACTAATGAGTGAATTCAGACACTGATGAACACCTGCTGTTAATAATTACAATTACTGAAGAAAATAAACAAGAAACACAAACAGTGACTTGAGTTACAACATTAAATAAAATCAAATAAAATAAAACAGCTTCAGTCTCAGCAGAGGATCATTAAACAACTCCACAAACAACAGCAGACACACTTATTACTGACTGATTTGACTTCCATACTATTCACATTGAGATCCAACAGAAATTAAGGTGTTTTTTGTGTCACCGTAATGGAGTAAGGGGCTGGTTTAGTTGGGCTCTTCACCCTTGAACTGATTAATTCAGACTCTCCAATCACTATAATAAAGAGTTAACAAAATGCTTGTATTATAGCAGTCAAGTTGGAAAGTCAATAAATAGAGAAATATATTTGTCTGAAATAAGTTCTGATAAATGTTTTGGTATAAATCTGGAAGAAGGGCCTCATGCAATAGATTTTATGTTTAGTTACAGGTATTAATTAAATTAATGAGAAGTGAAAACAGAAAGATACCTCCGTAATTACTTAACAGTTAAGAAATAACATACAAAAACAGTCCAGTTATGACACATACACACTCAGACCTCATGAATCTGACCTTGTATCTCAACAATGGTAACATCTCAAATGTTTCATGCTGCAATGCATGCTGGGAGTGGCATGGTACAAATATCCCAGCATGCATTGCGGTATAAAAAAAATGTTGTATAACGGTCTAAGAGTTTTCTTTACTTGTGTTTGATTCTGCTGTTGTTTATGTTTAGACTTTCAGTTGCCTGTTTGTGAGTTAAACTGTTAATTTTGTTAGTCGTCACCATTATTGAGGTTCATCCGCTGATTATTGATGTCTCTTTGAGTGCGATATACACCATAGAGCAGTGTTATTGTCCAAGATATTCTTAAAAACTTCCAGAAATCGTTGCCATATATATACATAATGTAAAACAATAGATTTAACATTGAATGGGAGCAGTAAATTTTATTATACTAAATGAGAACAGACTCTGCCATTTAATAACAACTTGAACATCACCAGATCTTACTTTTTCAGATTTAGGTTTTTGGCTGGCTTGCCACAACAAAGGAGCTTTTTAAGCAAAGTTCTTAACAATTGCAGCAGCTAAGATATATAAATGTCAGGGCTAAGAGCCCAACTAAAGCAAACTCTGTTCTCCATGATGGTGACGTAAAACTTTAACTTTTTCTCAAGAAGAACTTTAGTAGATGTTATACAAAAATACATGTATTAAGTAATAAGTGTAGCTGGTGATGATGTTTGTAGAGTTGTTTAATCATCCGCTGATCATTTAAATGATTTAATCATTTGTTGTTCTTCAGGTTATTTCATTATAAAGCTTTGACTAAAGTTTAGCATGTTCTGTTCTTGTTTTTTCCCTTCAGTATTTCTTCATTTGTTCATTGTTAATCCTCAATTATCATTTAATTAGTGAGTTAATTAATGAATTTACTTCAGCTTTGCTCCATGTTTCTTGAACACTCAGTAGTGTGGACACTTCAATTAAAACTGAAGTATATGCTCTGGGGTTTAAAGGGTTAAAGGTGTGAGAGGTAAAAACACAGTGTAAAAATGTATTTTAACAGTAATATACTGTTAATTTACACAACGGAAGTGGACTGTTAAAAAACAGTATATTGCTGGCAACCACAGCTGCCAGTAGATTACCGTTAAATCAAGGAAAAAACAGTATTTTACTGTAAAACCTGAAGCTAATTTCTTCTGTGTGTCACCGTTGTGGAGGAGAGTAGAGCCAGTGTATGAGTTAAAGATGAACAATGAACTGCTGATGTTATTCTGCATGTTTCTCTATTTAAAGACAGCGGCTGTTTAGTTGCTGATGCAGTCAGAATCTCTCTGGTGATTCCAGATTTACATGTATGTGTGCTGTTGTGAAAAATAAGACATTAGAGTTAAACCAAACTTTTTTAATTAACTAAAATAAGTTATCATTATAAGTATGCTTCTAAGCATATATAGCACATTACTTCATAAACTCATTCAGCAGTTGACCAAGTTGAGGCAGTTGCTTTCAGTGAGCAAAATGAGTTCACTTGAGTATTGTGTAAATCAATGTAGTCCATGTATTTTTACAGCAACATACTGTAAAATAACAGTACATTGCTGGCAACTGCAGCTGCCAGTATTTTCCTGTTTTTTAACGGGACAATTTTTAACAGTGCAGCGCGCTGCTGCAGTACATTGAAAACACATGATTTGATTTGTGTCTTCTGATTAGTTCTTGGGATATAGCTGCTTTTGCTGTCAAAGGCAAGTGGCGCTTATAGCAGTTTTCGCCAACAAACTGTTATTTCAGAATGTGCTGGCGCTGCGATTCAGATGATTTGAAGCAAATCTATTTGTTGAACACTTTTTGGCAGAAGTGGTGTTTAGGGGCTTTTGCATCGGAACTCTTCATTTGTACTTCGTTACTTCCCATCTCTGCTTACAGAGCACTTTTGGTTAACTTGTATGTCATTTATCAAATTAATTCTTAAAATTTGGATCAGTTTAGATACTCAATGAACTTTGAATTGTACATTGTTAACAAACAAGGATCAATAAATACAACTAAATATTGCTCATTGATAATTTATGGTATTTACTGCATTAGCAGTTATAGCAAATTATAGCATTAGCTTTAAGCTTTAAGATGTTTATGCAATCAACTCTTTTATTGTGACACATGAAATAAATGAGTATATAATGTTTAGTATAATGCACAAATGTCACTGATATTAAGAGTTTCTGAATCCTATTTGCAGCCTCTTTCATGATTCATAAATAAATAATGGTTTTCATTGCACTGTATTAGCTCTATTATTGAAATTGAATTTCCTGTTGAAACAGGAAGCAAGGAAGCAGTGTAATGTAATATTCTCTTTAAAGTGAAGTGGCTGCTCTACCAGAGACTAAAAGACTCTTCCTCTTCATCCCTCAGGATAATGTGAACCTGCTGCTCACCGAAGAAGAGATGTACAGTCTGATGGAAACCTTCAAGCAGTGCAAGATCATTCCAGGTGTTTCTCTCAGTGCTTTTTTTTAAACAGAGATGTGGTTTAAATATGTGCCTTTAGGAAGCTAATTAAAGGTTCTCTAATTTATCACATCATTGATGTAATTAGGCCTGACCTGTTTTCATTGATTGATGATGCGGTAACTTCCCTTTCACCTACTTTCTGCTCAGAGTCGTGTCTGGTGTCAGATGAACTCCTGCAGTACAGGCACTTTGTGACCAAGCAACTCTTTGAAAGAGACTTGACCGATGAGGAGGAAGAGGAGGTTCTGGCCCAGTTTGCAGCTCTGGATCCTGAAAAGAAGGGTCAGATTGAGTGGTCTGACTTTCTCTACCATGAGACACTTTCAGTGCTGCAGAAATTTCGGACTGAGGTAATGTGGGACAACAAATTTAGCTGTGTGTTATTGGAAAGGGCACCCTTGAAACTGTTTCTGAGTGTATGTTTACACAACAGGGACATACCGAAAGAAAAAAGTGTGTCGTTTGTATTTTTGGAAAGTGTTGCATTATAAGACAGTGTTGTCAGTAGGAGTACCCTTCAGATGGATCCATGAAAATGACTAAAATAGCTGTACTATCCTTGCCAGGCCAGTAGTTGGCGATGTCAGTTTTGAAGAAACTAAACACTTGCATTCTGTTTGTGCACATACAATCTGCGTCCCAAATGGCACACTATGTACGGATGCACTATGTACTTGGCACTTACACACTTAACAGCATAGTATATGTATGTAGTGTCATCCCAAATGGAACACAAATGTTATTTTACTAAGGGTAAATTCAAACCGTTTCCCTGATGATGTTTGACGGTTGCCAAATTAGCAAATTAATAAATGACCAAACCACCAAATAGTGCCTGCCATGAGTAACCGCATTCACTATCCAGAGGCGCTATAATCACTCTCAGAGGAAAATTTTGCTTTCACAATCCAAAATAAATAAAATTAATCTAACATGGGACACACCTAGTCTTGTAGTCAATCACTTTGGTATAGACTGAACATAAAAACATGCATGCACCTGATGTCTTTGTTGCTTACTAGGAGACATGAAAGTTATTGTTTTTTAAAAAAGTATGAAATCTATTTTTAAAAGAATAAAATTCAAGAGTTCAGATGCAAAAGCCTTCAAATTCCATCTGAAATTTTCTTTTTAAATTAAGATTTTTCTCAGATTCCTGTGTGTAGGTTCAGTAGTTTCATATTTATGGCAAATAATAGGTTTTAAACTCCATATTTAAAGAGAAATTACTAAAAAATAAACCTTAAAGCCTAAGAAAATAATAATTTTAGAAGGAAATTTCAGACGATGAGGCTTTTGCATTTGCATTATTGTCACTATACACTTTGCACTTATTCACTATTTATTTATTCACTATGCACTGAAAAAAAGATGTCTGCAAAATTGTTGCAAGCAATTTATGTTATATGTGTTTAAACAGACAAATTACATTTAGTAATGTTCAACTTAATTTGTTTGTTTAAATTCAACTCAAATAAATTGTTTAAAACCACTTAACAGACTTTTTTTTTTTTTTTTTTTTGCTGTTTCTGCTATTTTTGCAGAATGATTTTGAGAGTGTAGATGCTGAAAAGCAATATATAAGTTAACTTTTATTTAGTTTTGCTTAGGTTTACAATTATAAATCCAATAAGAATTGTTTAGGAATTAAAACTACAGCAGCTCTCCAATATAATATATCTACTATAAGACAGACAATATTACTTTAGAACTTGTATTGTACATAAATAATCTAAATGTGCATGTTATTTAATATTATTACTGAAATTCATAGAAAAAAAAACTGAATAAAGGTATATTTACACACATTTTCATTGGTAAATAAATATTTCTTCATGTGAAGATTCCACATGTGACAATATAAATGTTTATAAAATATAAAATGTATAGTCAAAAACAGCTTTGAACATGGCTTTAATAATCACATAATTGGTTTTATAAGTATTTTTTTATTTGTAGTATTAGTAATAGGTAAATTAAACAATCACAGTACATTATTCTGTTTTTTGTTTGCAATCCAGAATTCACTGGTGCGAATCCTCACAGCGAAGGAGAGGGACCGGGCTCGGGCTCTATTCCAGAGTATAGATCAGGACAAAGATGCCATCATTACTGCCGGAGAAGCCAGAAAAGCCCAAACCTCATGGTTTCAAAAGACTAACAAAGAATCACAGTCCTGCAATGTCAGGTAAGCCAATTATGTAGTCATTTAGGTTAATCACAGTTAGCATGATATTCCTAAATGGTTCTCCATCACGACCACTTACATAATCAACAGCAAGCGTCGGACAAACACTTGAAAATCATTTCGGTGACTCGTCCAATTTGCCTGGCCTAGGGGAGTAACAAATCAGATCAATCTTGGCAGTTTTTATAGCTATGTCATTCTGCCAGTGCCTGCACGAGCTGCTAGCCAATGCTAACTGCTCTCACTTTATTAGCAATGTATCCCCTCATCTCTTCTCAGGAATTACGGGCTAACTTTGCATTCAGGAACTCTGCCGAGAGAATTTGAATCATTTAAGTAGTGCACATGCTGACAGTTCTGACATTGGGATTAATGTTTATAGCGTAAATTAGATGATATAACCGTCAGAGTAAGCCGTCTGTGGAATAGGGGAAGCGGAAAAAGTTTCTCAGTGACAGGCTAAGATCAGGGATGCAGACTGACTTTGACAGAGCACACTGTGGCAGTCGCATCATAATTCAAACCTCGCTTTGAACCCAGAAGTCAGAATGATGAGTATTTGCTGTGAATTGTGGGGTAAAATGAAGCTAGGTGCTTGGATTATTCCTCCTTCTAAATCAGCAATTCATCAAGCGCAACAGAACAGCGTTTATTTGAAATAGACACATTATAAATGTATTTATTCTCACTTTTGATCTGTTTAATACAATCATGTTAAATAAAAAAATCATACTAATTCCAAACCTTTGGAGTGGCAACATGCAAGTTGTCAGGGATGTCCAAATTCAGGAGGGCAGATGTCCTGCTGAGTTTACAGTAGCTCCAACTTGCTCCAACACACCGTTCAGGAGGTTTCTAGTATATTTAGTAAGAGCTTAATTAGCTGGTTCAGGTGTGTTTGATAAGTGTTGGAGCTAAACTCTTCTGGAAATCGGCCCTCCAGGACCAAGTTTGGACACCGCTGCAGTAGGCATGTGTAGGTTTGTGATTCTGACGATATGATAAACTTGGATAAAAAATATCATGGCTTCACAGTATTGTGATTACTGCTCTAAAATATATTATTTTTAAATGTCTGGGTAAAAAACTAAATCTTTTTTTCCCCTTTGAACATAGTATATTGTTTTTGAGAAACATTTCATATATTTTGGAGCAGTAAACATGTCAGGCTAAATAATCCAAATGGATCATTGACTTCTGCTGTCTTCATTATATTCAAAAGCAAATTTCGTTAAAATTTTAAACGTATCTATTCTGCTGGAGATACTGTTGTCCTAAAACAAACAAACAAACAAACAAAACAAACGTAAAAAACAAAATCTTACTTATACCGTAGAATGGTAACAGAAAAAATTGGCGGTTTTAAAACCTTGACTTTTCCAAACCGCGGTATACCTTGAAAACGATTATTATCCCATGCCTACCCTGCAGTATGAATATTTTGAACAATTCAGTTGACTCTGTGAATGTAGTATATGGGACACTCTGTTTTGACATCATCCTACATGCCTTATTGTTTTTTTTTTCCCCAAACCATTCATCCCATCATTTTTACCACTTGAATGTCCATTTGCCCTGCAGACTCATGGGATTGTGTTCCCCTTTGTTCAGTATGGGGTAAGTCACTCGATCTGCATGGGCCTCCCCTGGAAACAGCATACACCGTTCCCTGTCATCACCATCATTATACTCATGATAATCATTATCACCTCAATAAGTATTCTGTAATGCAGGCCGAGGTATCAGTGGCTAAAAATATCAAAGCTAAACTGGATAGTATCTGGCAATTTCATTCGCTCTGCCACTATGGCTTTATTAGATGAGACCTTGCTCTCCCATTATCGGGATCAAAAAAGAGGCTCTTGTTCCCCTCAGAGAAACCCTTAAGGACATTTTTCATCAGTATTAAGGGGCACAGCAGGTTAAATGAGCGGTTGAGTGTGCTGGTGCATGGGGTTGTGGGTGTTTGCGTGTATGTTTGGCACATTCATGGCATGACTAAGCTTGCATCCTAATTTACGCTCATTAAAATCAACTGAGGGCTTGAGATCAAAGCCGACAGTCTCGACTCTGAACCGTCCCAGTTCTGCAGGTGATGTTTGGGTTGCTCTGGTCATGGTTGCATACGCTCGTCATTGAAATTAACTACAGGATGTTTTTGTTTCAAATGTATTTTTTTTCAGTCAATGGAGTTTGTCACATCATTTCTCGTGTTCTGAATGGCGTGCAAAGTCTGGAGTTTGTGAGACTTCTATACGCACAATTATTGCTGGCCATTCAGAATTGAATTGAGAATGCATTGCGATTCCAATTCAAGTCCTGAATGCATGTTTCTGCACATGAGTGAACTAGTTGTGTCTTGCCGGTGGCTGGGTATTGTCTCTCTGGGCTCTGAGGTGTCATGAGAACAACAAATTAGAGTTTGAAAACCCAGAGGCTGTAGAAGTGCCGCCTGCTGTGAGCTGTCCGGTGATGTGCGTATCTGTGTGGGAGAGATTGAATGAAACAGCGTGACTTTCAGCTTGCTTTCTTCACCTGCAGTATCAGCCATGTTGGGCCAATATCTGAAAGCAGTCCTGCCAGCTCCAGCAGCGAGAGAAGCAGGGATAAAGCCATGGAGAGTGACAACAGGTGGGTATATGTGTGTTCGTTTAGATTTCAGGAGGTGTAAAGTACAAAAGTCTTCTAGTTCTTTTTGTTTACACATATGTTAGCATCTGTTTACACATGTGTTAGCATCTGTGCTCTGTCAAATGTAAAGCTTTTTAAGTGTACTATATTTGATATAGTGTATACAATAACTATATTTGGTTAGTGTAAGTTGACGTGTACTTGTTTGTTAGTACACAGTTTCTTATAGTCAGTTAAATGTCTGTTGAATGTCTCTATCAACAGATGTTAAGCAGACAGTCTAGTAATACTCAACTGGACCATTAAAATAAAGTGTTATCCAATAATATTCCAATTGTGAGACAATGATGGACAAAGTTATGTGGATACACTGCAAAAAATGCTTTTCTTACTTTTTGTCTTGTTTCTAGTCCAAATATCTAAAAATTCTAGGAATTTTCTAGGCAAGCAAAACATATGGTCTTGTTTTCAAAAATAATATGCCAATATTAAGTGAGTTTTTTTCTTAAAACAAGCAAAATAATCTGCTAATTGGGTAAGCAAAATAATCTTTTTTCTTTAGACGTAAGATTATTTTGCTTACTCCATTGATAGGTTATTAATCTTGTTTTAAGGAAAAACTCACTTAATTTTGGCATTTTATATCTGAAAACAAGACAGTATGTTTTGCATGTCTAGAAAATTCTTCTTGATTTAAGAGTTTTTAGATATTTGGACTAGAAACAAGAAAAAAATTTAAGTAAGAAAAGCATTTTTTGCTGTGTACTGTACACATATACAATATCTAAAATAAAGGTATGAAGCTATCATTGAAGTAGTAACTTTTTAGGTATTATTATGTACACCTAATGCACTAATAACAATATTCTCAACAGCAGTGGTCTCAAACTCTATTCCTGGAGGGCTGCAGCTCTGCATAGTTTAGCTCCAACCACCTTCAACTCACACAAGCTTAACAGTCTCTAGTAGTCTTGATTACACCTTGATTAGTTGAATCAGCTGTGTTTAATTAGGGTTGGAGCAAAACTGTGCAGACCTGTTGCCCCCCAGGAGTTTGAGAACTATGCTTAACAGGGTTCCCACAGGTCATGGAATTTCTGAAATATCATGGGATTCTACACTAGATATCGAAAGTCAGGGAATTTTTCAGGGAATGTCCAAGTCATAGAATATCAGGGGGTTTAGTTTGTCATTTTAAATTTTCTTACCATTTAGTTTTTTTTTTTTTTTTGTACAGATTTTTTTTCACATTGTTTAACATGATTTGCATATTGTTATGTTTAGGCTATTTTTCACATAAGACTCCATAACAACATCCAAAGTCTTGTAGGCCTCAATTGTTTAGGTTAAGGTGAGTGTTCAAGACTCCACCATAAGAACGAGACTGGGCAAATTAATTTCCCTTGTCAACCCACAATCGAAAGTCATGAGTCTGAACTGTTAAAATACACTTGTGGCTGTTTCTGCTCAGTTCTCAGTTCCCTTTTGTACTTTGTGGGGAAAAAATCTCTTATTTTTGCGACTTAAAATTGCTGATTTTGCATTCCCTACTGAAAAAAACTGCTTAAACCAGCCTAGGCTGGTTGGCTGGTTTTAGCTTTTCGACCAGGCTGGTTTTAGAGGGGTTTTGGCCATTTCCAGGCTGGTTTCCAGCCATTTCCAGCCTGGTCTTAGTTGGTCAGGCTGGAAGATGAACAGCTGAAACCAGGTTGACCAGCCTAGCCAGGCTGGGAGCCTAACAAAACCAGCTATGTCCAGCTTCAACCAGGCTGGTTAAGTTGGTTTTAGTTGGTTTTAGCTGGTCATATTTCAGCCTGACCAGCTAAGACCAGGCTAAAAATGGCTGGAAACCAGCCTGGAAATGACCAAAACCCCTCTAAAACCAGGCTGGTCAACCAGCCTAGGCTGGTTTAAGCTGAATTTTTCAGCAGGGTTGCCACTTCTCAAAATTTGTTGCAATATTTTTGGCATTTCGTATGTAGTTTTGGGGTTTCTGTGGCTGTGCATTGCAATAATCTCACATGATGCATATCATGTGGCTCACACACCTAAAGAAAACCCTTATCTATGACAACTTGAAGAAGCTCAATAGATGAACACTTTCTATACTTCAATATAATAATATTAAATAAATAACAGTGAACTGTGTCATAGCTGCCAAAATCTACGTGAAATCTTTAGCAATTACAAAAACTTATTCCTCTAAATGCTGTGCTATTTGCTTGATTTTCCTTTAAATTCAGCAAATACAGAATTGTAAAGAGAAGCTCAGGAATCTGAATGGAACCATGTCTTAAGATAACAGTATGGACCCTTAAAGTATAAATGTGTGGAGGCATTGCCTCTGTGGAAGCCTGTGTACCTTTATTTTTAATAACCTATTTTATTTTTAACCTTTATAAAAGGCCTTTTGAGAATGAGATTTTACAATGCAGTTCAATTAAGTTGTGAAACACTTCACTGTACATTTTGTTTCAAAGCTGCTTTAGAAACATTAGTGTTTTACAAATCCCTTAGCAAAATAGTCATAAGAAAACTCATTACAATGGTAAACTAAATAGGATAAAAACCTTGGGAGATAAAAAAAAATAAAAAATTAGAAAAGAAGCCAGTCAAGCCCATGTATACACATGGAAACCAGGCATCCATAAACAAAGATCCAACTGATCACATGCAATCCAGCCACACGCTAACTATAACTTACCTTTTGTAACCACTTAGCACTGTCCTAGCAACCACATAGGTCATCCTAGGCACCATGTAGAAACACTCTAACAACCATCCAGAAAACAATTTGTTTAAATAAATGGACACAGTTTACTAACATTTTGGACAAAAAAGGTTTGAAATTTATGTATGGTCTTTATTTTTCTCACATCAATTTAGCTACCAATTTTAGGTACTAAAAATGTAAGGATATAATGACATTTTATTATGTTCTCAAAACGTTTAAAATTCCCCCTAAAAGGTGTTTAGACAATGTATACACTGCAAACAAACAATAAAAACAATATTGTTTTATTGTTTGTTTTATGGAATGTCTGCAGCAATGAGGTGATGCCCATAACACATTTTCTGTCAAGGACAATAAAGTTTACTACTACTACTACTACTAATAATGTTTTAGTTATAAAATGATTGATTTTTTTCAATGTTATATTAATGCTCTAATAACGTTAAAGAACGTTATTATAGACAGTAATATAGCATTCTGTCCACATTCTATTAATGTTCTATGGATATTTTTCAAGCAACATTCCAAAAACATTATTTTATAACATTATTTGCTATTGTTTACACAACTTTTAGCCTTAATTGCAGTGCAGGGGAAAGTAACTTTTGAAGTAGTGCATTATATTATCGAGTTACTCCCCCAAAAAAGTGACTAGTTGCGTTATCTAGTTACTTTTCATGGTAAGTATATTCTACTTTTTTTGTCTTATCAGTGTAGTGAAATAACTATCCATTGATGCAATCCCCTTTTCCTTTTCTTCCATGTGTTTAAAAACAATCAATGCATTCTCTCATTTAGTGAGTGATTCAGTGTGACTTTATTTCAATTTAACATTTTTTTAAAAAGAGAATTAATTAAATAAATAGTAACTCGCATTACATTTTTAACAAAGTTACTCAAATATTATTACTGATTTTTTTTAAAGTAATGCATTACTTGTTACTTAGAAATGTACAATTATTAAATAACTTGCATTACTTGTAATATGTTACTCCCAACACACTTTACTTGCACTGTTAAAAATTGTCCCGTTAAAAAACAGGAAAATACTGGCAGCTGCAGTTGCCAGCAATGTACTGTTATTTTACAGTATGTTGCTGTAAAAATACATGGACTACATTGATTTACACAATACTCAAGTGAACTCATTTTGCTCACTGAAAGCAACTGCCTCAACTTGGTCAACTGCTGAATGAGTTTATGAAGTAATGTGCTATATATGCTTAGAAGCATACTTATAATGATAACTTATTTTAGTTAATTAAAAAAGTTTGGTTTAACTCTAATGTCTTATTTTTCACAACAGCACACATACATGTAAATCTGGAATCACCAGAGAGATTCTGACTGCATCAGCAACTAAACAGCCGCTGTCTTTAAATAGAGAAACATGCAGAATAACATCAGCAGTTCATTGTTCATCTTTAACTCATACACTGGCTCTACTCTCCTCCACAACGGTGACACACAGAAGAAATTAGCTTCAGGTTTTACAGTAAAATACTGTTTTTTCCTTGATTTAACGGTAATCTACTGGCAGCTGTGGTTGCCAGCAATATACTGTTTTTTAACAGTCCACTTCCGTTGTGTAAATTAACAGTATATTACTGTTAAAATACATTTTTACACTGTGTTTTTACCTCTCACACCTTTAACCCTTTAAACCCCAGAGCATATACTTCAGTTTTAATTGAAGTGTCCACACTACTGAGTGTTCAAGAAACATGGAGCAAAGCTGAAGTAAATTCATTAATTAACTCACTAATTAAATGATAATTGAGGATTAACAATGAACAAATGAAGAAATACTGAAGGGAAAAAACAAGAACAGAACATGCTAAACTTTAGTCAAAGCTTTATAATGAAATAACCTGAAGAACAACAAATGATTAAATCATTTAAATGATCAGCGGATGATTAAACAACTCTACAAACATCATCACCAGCTACACTTATTACTTAATACATGTATTTTTGTATAACATCTACTAAAGTTCTTCTTGAGAAAAAGTTAAAGTTTTACGTCACCATCATGGAGAACAGAGTTTGCTTTAGTTGGGCTCTTAGCCCTGACATTTATATATCTTAGCTGCTGCAATTGTTAAGAACTTTGCTTAAAAAGCTCCTTTGTTGTGGCAAGCCAGCCAAAAACCTAAATCTGAAAAAGTAAGATCTGGTGATGTTCAAGTTGTTATTAAATGGCAGAGTCTGTTCTCATTTAGTATAATAAAATTTACTGCTCCCATTCAATGTTAAATCTATTGTTTTACATTATGTATATATATGGCAACGATTTCTGGAAGTTTTTAAGAATATCTTGGACAATAACACTGCTCTATGGTGTATATCGCACTCAAAGAGACATCAATAATCAGCGGATGAACCTCAATAATGGTGACGACTAACAAAATTAACAGTTTAACTCACAAACAGGCAACTGAAAGTCTAAACATAAACAACAGCAGAATCAAACACAAGTAAAGAAAACTCTTAGACCGTTATACAACATTTTTTTTATACCGCAATGCATGCTGGGATATTTGTACCATGCCACTCCCAGCATGCATTGCAGCATGAAACATTTGAGATGTTACCATTGTTGAGATACAAGGTCAGATTCATGAGGTCTGAGTGTGTATGTGTCATAACTGGACTGTTTTTGTATGTTATTTCTTAACTGTTAAGTAATTACGGAGGTATCTTTCTGTTTTCACTTCTCATTAATTTAATTAATACCTGTAACTAAACATAAAATCTATTGCATGAGGCCCTTCTTCCAGATTTATACCAAAACATTTATCAGAACTTATTTCAGACAAATATATTTCTCTATTTATTGACTTTCCAACTTGACTGCTATAATACAAGCATTTTGTTAACTCTTTATTATAGTGATTGGAGAGTCTGAATTAATCAGTTCAAGGGTGAAGAGCCCAACTAAACCAGCCCCTTACTCCATTACGGTGACACAAAAAACACCTTAATTTCTGTTGGATCTCAATGTGAATAGTATGGAAGTCAAATCAGTCAGTAATAAGTGTGTCTGCTGTTGTTTGTGGAGTTGTTTAATGATCCTCTGCTGAGACTGAAGCTGTTTTATTTTATTTGATTTTATTTAATGTTGTAACTCAAGTCACTGTTTGTGTTTCTTGTTTATTTTCTTCAGTAATTGTAATTATTAACAGCAGGTGTTCATCAGTGTCTGAATTCACTCATTAGTGTTCATTAAAACAGTCAGGTGAACTATATTAGTTAACTAGTGTATGAAATAGTGAACAAGGACACAAAGCGTGATTTCAAACACAGACTTCAAAACATCGAATCTGAACTCTGTTAGCTCACAGTTTTCTGCAGTTGGTTACTTTCTCGAAAACAAAAATGTTACCCAGAAAGCACTGTTTTTAACAGAATATTACTGTTTTAGTGAAAAAACATTATTTTACCGTAGAATCTGACTGTTTTTTAACAGCAATTTTTTACAGTGTGGTTCTTGGTTCTATGATTGGCTTAATAGTGATTTAGCTGTCTCTGTTAACCCTCTCATGCGGTTATGCTTATCCAGACCTGTTACCTGGGACAACTTCCTGAAGGAGAGTGCTATCTACATTCTAGCAGCAAGGCCCAACAGTTCAGCCATGCACATCCGATTGCCACTCTAACCACGGCCACACAGCCTAAGACTTCCAGAGGGGCTTCCCGGGTCCAGATTCACGAGAAAGCGGTGCTGAGGACTTAACCGAGAGTCACACGAAAGTCGAAAGCAAATGAGTACCCCACCACACTCAAAGACCGTACAAGCCATTGACGGATCCTTCCTGTAATAACACAGTCTAGCAACACATTGACAAATCCAATGCTCTTGAACAATTGCACATATATCACCACTTCAGAGTTGAGCTTTGACGAGCTTGTATTTTGTGACCAAGTAACTGTTCCGATCAGAGAACCTGCTGCGATTTAAACACTGTCACACATTAGCAAAATTACAGCACCCGTATTTGCATAGTGTTTTTGATGTTAATGTGTCGTACCATTTTTTGGGATTGCGGCTCTAGCTGAATTAGTTTCGGTATCAAAGTGAAAGGGGTGGTTGAATCAGTCACCACAAAATATGAATATACAGTAAACAAAGTGGGCAATGAAGGTGCCACAAGGGAATCGTCATTACAAAAACACCCTAATGAGGCTTCAGATGTGAGATGCTATATATATATATAGAAACTATATACAGTCTATATACCTATATATTATACAAATTATTGTCTGTGTATTTATTCCCATACCTTCAGGGATGGATTATGGACCAGTACATGAGCTTCCAGACTGCCTCAATCTAACACTTTACTGACAGATGGGATTTGAAATGACGATACAGTCTATAATACAATAATTTGACTTTTCTTACACTGACAAGAAAGACATAATAGAGGTTGTATTTCTTAGTTTTTTACTTCGTTGTTGAATTTTTGAGTGAAACAGGTTATTTCATCAGAATGTTTTTATTTTTTTTTATTTTTATGTACTGTATGAGGAATGAATTGTGAATATAATCTTTATTTTGAAAACCTAGTGAGCTGCCAACTTTAGCTGTGTTTTAAAAGGCCAAAAAGGTTAAAAAATATTGCAATTAATTGAAAATATTTCTGATTGGGTATAATGCAAGAAGATTGCAGGTTAAAGTCCTTGCTGGGTCAATTGGCATTTCTGTGAGGAGTTTGCATGTTCTCCCTGTGTTTGCGTGGGTGCTCTGGTTTCCCCCGCAGTCCAAAGACATGTGCTATGGGTGAATTGAAAAAACTAAATTGGCCATAGTGTATGAGTGTGTTTGGATGATTCCCAGAACTGGGTTGCAGCTGGAAGGGTACTGCTGCATAAAACATATGCTGGATAAGTTGGCGGTTTATTCTGCTCTGGCGACCCCTGATAAACAAATGGAAAGTCAAAGGAAAATTAATAAATGGTTTATTGCAGCTTTGGTATACTGCATTGTTAGCTCAGCAACATGCTAAAGCCAAATGCTAGCAAATTGAAATAAATGGTCTTATGAAAAGATACATTCTAAGAAATCTTGTTTTGACTTAAAATGCTTATGATTCAAATCTAAATGTATTTACCCAATTGTATTACTCTTTTTAGTGTATATTTGTGGTCATTGGAATATTGCTTCAAACGTTAGCAACATGCTTATTCTAAAAGCTAGCCTAATTATGTTGACATACTGTATAGCCTGTTGAGTTTTCCCCAGATTATGCAATAAATTCTGCAATTAAAATGTACTATTTTACCCAATATTGTTTTTATTTTATTATAATTTTCTTTGTTTGCTTAACAACATTTATTTCCAAACATTTTTATGCTAAGTGTTATATTTTTCAGTACTAAAAGTATGAACTGCATTGGTAAGACTCCTTGCTAGACCTGTACTGCATTTCGTTGCCTTGTACTTGTACATGTGTAATGACAGTAACATTTAATCTAATCTAATCTAATCTAATCTAATCTAATCTAATCTGATCTGATCTGATCTGATCTAATCTAAAACTGCAGAAAAGGAATTTGCAATTAAAGGTACTTTTTGTTATATATTATTATATATTCTCAGAAATGTACAGGAGTTCTCACTGCAGTGGTACCTTTTCAAAAGGTACATACTTGTACCTGAAGGGTCCATAATGATACCTCTTAGGTACTTTTTAGGTACACTTGTGCACTAATATGCACCTTTGAGGTGCCACTGTGGACTCTTTGGGTACAAAAATGTATCTTTTGAAAAGGTACCACCCCAGTGACAGCTCCTCTACCTTTATTTCTGAGAGTGTATGTATTCGAGAATACCTTATACCTATATTGTGTGATTTAGCATCACAGCATCATCACAGTTGCTATGAAAAAAGCTAATCCAATTGTTTACTTTTAAGGGTTTCAGGTCTTAAAGCAGCTATGTTGGAAATATAAAACAAAGCAGCTCACTAGGTTGATGTAAAATGTGATTTTAAGTGGCTTTAGTGGAACATAAAGTTCTAATTAGATATGATGAGAAATATGTTTTGTTCTTTCCTCATTAATGCGACCAGATGGGGCTTTGCAGGACCATAATCCTTCCTTTATTACCTTGTGTCATGACTTGTTATTTTGTTTTTGATTTTATGTTTCTTTAACTGACTAGTTTCTGAGTTTTTACACTTTGTCTGTGAAAATTGTAACACTTGTAGGGGTGACATTGCTCAGTGTTTACCTAAAATAGCTGATGTAAACATGCAATCTTCCAAAAGACTGAAATGCTGATTTGAAAGCAAGAGCCCTCAAAATGTTTATAAACAGGTTTAAATTGTACTGCCTAAACAAACTCACTTGCTTCCCCCCTAGTTTTTTAGTGTATTTATGTTGAAATTGTTCCTAAATCTGGTGTGGATTAAACGACTTTCTAATATCTAAAACCTTTTTTTAAATACTTAAGCATAAATCAATGCACACTCCTGTAATATGGCATCTGGTTTTACACGTATTATATCAAACTGTATGAGGGGTATATACAAATCCACTGGTTTATATGGTCATATCCACTGTATTTGCTTTTAGAAAGTTTGTATTGGATTGCTCAAGGCAGTTATTTCAAGGGACTGTGCAATACTCTGAGTTTTGCTGATAGTGCTGGAAATAAACGCATGATGTTAACTCCAAAAACTACAGCCAGGTTTTGTGAGTCATTTACAGTATAAAGAACACAATCACAGCTGAGTCTGTCTGTCTGTCTGTCTGTCTGTCTGTCTGTATGTATGTATGTATGTCTGTCTGTACGTATGTATGTATGTATGTATGTATATATGTTTTGTGGGACTGAGAGCTGTTGGAGCAAGGCTGGGGGCACAAGTGTTACCTGTATACTACTCTTGTCTTGGGTCCCACAGAGGAGCTTCTGCAGGATACATGGAGGGTCAATGACAGTGATGGACTAAAAAGGACCTGGCCTGGATCATTAAAGGGTTAGATGCTCAGAACTTGGAAATTCTACCATGATTGAATCCTCCTCAAGGCATTCTATATATATAGATATATGACCTTCTATCAGTTGATTCAAATTCAAGTTATTTAAAAAAAATGACTGTTTTTTTTTTTCTTGGTCTACACGGGCATTGGTTGTTCTCAGCAGTCCAAAAGAAGTCTAATAAAATGCATTCATCTATAAAAAAAATGTGTCTGATATGTTTTATGTGGCTGATACCCTTCTAGTTGAAACCCAACACTGGGAAACACCCATACACTCTCACATTCACACACACACTCATACACTATGGCCAATTTAGTTTACCCAGTTCTCCTACCACATGTCTTTGGATTGTAGGGAAAACCGAAGCACCCAGAAAAAAACCCAGTCGAACACAGCGAGAACATCCAAACTTCACACAGAAATGCCAACTGACCCAGCCGGGACTTGAAACAGTGACCTTATTGCTTATAAATGGAAACACTTTAAGCTAGTCGAACATGATGGAATGTCTGCTGTCGTACAAACTCCCGCACATTTTTTTTCTTAGATCGAGATCAGTTGTGTGGAAATTGATGAAGACAATCTTAGTGTCCATTTATCCCTATTTTCATAGTTCATGCCTTCTTTCCTCAGTGTTCAACTGTGTTCAACTGTGTTACATTGGTGCCAAACCTAGGAGAAAGAAGGAACATACTGTCAAAGAACCATCACTGCTGAGAGGAATAGTGAGGGTTGGGAGGACATGCTAGTGGAGATGCTGGAGCGACATGCCAGGAAGGAGAGATTCACTCATTGTCGCCACCAGGTTATGAAGGGGAGGCTGTTATTAAAAAATGAATGGAGAGGTTTCTGCTATTCAGCTGATGCTAAGGCCTGCTGTTGCTTGCTGTTGTCAGGAGGAGCAGATTAAAGGCCCAGATACGCTGCAGGCACAGGACGTAAACATGACATCATATTGAAGTTGTACACCAACCGGATTTAGTTTGGAAATGAAAATCGGGTAGACATCAGAATCCAACATCAGGCCGATGTCAGTGTTCAATGTCCAACCTGAAATCAACCAAACATCAACTTAATTTGACGTCGTTATTGGACATCAAAATAACGTTGTCCTTAAATCTTGGCTAGACATTGAATTTTAGTCACCTAACGTCATGATCTAAATCTAACCTAATATTAACGTCTTATGTCAAGTTCAGACCGCATGATATTCAAAGTAGTCGTGTTACAGATGTTTTCACACTGCATGACTATCTGGGCTATTGTTTTGTCGCTGCTTGGTTTTCACTGCAAGATGGATCGGCAACAGGGGCTTTCACATTGAATGACTTTACAGTAGGAAGAGTCGCCGACAACTTCATCCAAACTATCTCACAACCAAAAACACATAGTGAATAATATCTTTTGTTATTAACTACATAATGAGAAAGAAGCCTTTAATGGGGTAGAAAATGTACAAATTTCCTCACCTAGGTTTGAAGGGAATTAGCAATTTCTCCTCAACTTTCTTTTTTTGACCTGGTTGTGATATTGCACACGTGACACGTCAAACAGACACGGCTGCTCTTGCCAAATTTCCTCTAGATTTTCCTTCATTTCTTGCGTCCAAATAAACTCAAAAGAAACGCTTTTAACTTCTTCCCCAACCTCCCGCTGGCCTGCAGGTACACACACACTAGTCTGGTGAATGCTGCTCTCTCATTGGCTGTGTGTGATCACTTATATTATTTTTAGTCAAAACTCATTTCACACAGCATGATTTGAATCGCCGACAGCTCCAGATATTCAGCATGCCAAATATCTCACATGCATCGGCAACTGATTGGCAATTCTCCCAGATCGCGTCTTTGATAGTTCACAATGTGTGATCGTTACTCGAGTGATTTCATTCATTTGTCTGAGATTTCTCAAAATCTGTCAGCGAGTCAATATCGGGGCTAAAATCATGCAGTCTGAACTGTATGATGTTGTGTGCCTGCTGGGCATACCTTTAAATATGATAGAAAAAACTGAAATTTTATAATTTAAAACAAAATCCAGTCAAAATGAAGTTCGAAAGAGTTCAACAGAGCAAACTTTATGTTTAAGTTTGTTTTAACATCTCCTAAAGTTTGTAAACACCTTTGAGCTATTGGTCCATGGTGATGATGCAATCAGAGGGTGTCCTGCAAACTCTGTCTTTTTTAGTGTGCTTCATATCCACAAAGTTTAGAGTCAGGACAGAAGCATCCAGCACAACAACACCAAGTAAACAACATGAATGAACTTGAGGGTCGATTAGCAGAGCTGGTACAGTTTTCAGCAAGCATTTTTTTGTTTTTAAAAGATGTCTAATAGATCTCTAAACATAGTCATCTTGGCTAAAACGAGGCTAAATTTGGGCTTTCAGTGAAAAACTAGTAGATGTTTAAGAATAGACCAAAACCAGACTAGTCATCAAATAAACAGAAATGAATGACTGCACATATAAAGTCTGTCTATTTGACAGCTAGTCTAGTTCTGGGCTATTCAGATGTCTATTAGAAGTTTAGTCTTGTTTTAGCCAAGTTGTCTACATTTAGATGTCTATTAAGCACAAAATTGTCTGCTGGGTTGTATTCACACCTGTACTACCGTTCACTGAGACATTTAAATGACTCTTGAGTCACACACTGGAAGATAAGCACATCTGCCATGGGTGATAACGTTGTAAACATTGCTCCATTCAGTGTCTGTCCACAACAAATCAGAAGTAATTTGGCATGCCGTGGTGGTACTTCTCTCTGGATAAGGCTTTTTTGCCA